TATTTGCTCCAGGAACTCCTCAATACTGACTCCTTTTTCGCCCGAAAATTTTATTTTCCACTCTCGGACCATCTTTCCAAGGAGCTTGCTCGTGAAACGCGACATTTCCATCGTGTTGAGTAAGTGAGGTGGGGGCCCCCCTGTGCTGTGGCTCGCCGCCTGTCTTGGTGCCGGCAGCGTGAGCGAATCATCCGCCGTCCTCCGGACAACCCCCCTTCCCCAGCTCGAGCTTGCGGAGACAAAAGGGCTGAATAGCTGGGCATCCGATCCAGCAGCATACTGTGGCTTTGGAGTGGCTCACCTTCCCCCGATTGTACCTGCGGGAGGAAGGTGTGTAGAGTAGTTTGTTGCTGGGATCGTCGGGTGCGTACCTGCTGCTGTAGTCGCCATTCGCGGTGCTTCGTGCTGATTTTGCACTGACGATTTCGTGGTCGAGTTGAACATTGGCGCTTTTGGGTTTAGTGTTGAGGGCGACGGTCGTATTGAACCATCGAACTGGCTTGACAGCTCGTAGTAGTTAAAATCGAACGTGTCTTGGAAGTGAACCCCTTTGCTTGTTCGTGTTGCGTTCAAACGCGCTTGATTTTCAGCCGTCTGCTGCTGAGCATTGGCGACTACGCTTTTCATTTGCGCCTGTAGATCGCTGTTTATTCGCTCTACATTGCTTTTTTCCGACCGCAATGTGGCGATGGCTTGCAGCAGTTCCTTTATTTATGTTTCCTGTTTTGTGCTACGCAACACTAATTCCTACATTTCTGCTCGCTGCGTAGCCCAAAATTCGTTCAAATTTTCTTTTAAAACGCGCACTTGGAACTCTGCTTGCCACGCCCGTTTTAGCTCTGCAGCCGCCGCCGCACTCAGCCAGTGTTCGCTTTGATCGGGGAACATTACGGGCATTGTTCGCTTTGTGGCTGGAAAGGTGACCGGTTCGATTGTCGGTGCGGCGTAATGTTGTGCAGTATACGTCTCTCTGCTATGCGTTAGGCTCATTGCGCTTGCCGTAACTTGGGGCACCGACTGCATGCTGGAGGTCACGATTGGCTCGCTCTGCGTAACGTTCGGCGAGTCTAAAAGGTGGTTAGAATTCCAGCTTTCGTTGACCGGCGTCTGCACTCGAGCTCCTTCCTCTATAATCGGTGCTACTTGCGGATTCGCTTCTAACGTAAGCGACATGTCGATCGGCCCTGCGGTTCCTTGCGGCGAGCTTGCCGCGAAGCCTAACTGCTCTTCGTCATCTTCATTTTCGTCGTTGGCACCTAACGTCGTTTCCGCGTCTAATGCCGTACAAATATCGTTAAGTATATCGTCCGGCAAGAGTTCTGACCGGAAGAAGGTGCGCGCTAAATCGTTTCGCCTTTCTTCCGCTAATGTAGGATTATCGAAACGCGATTGTATAAAGTCGCTCTCGGTGTAGTTGCCGTTCAATCGTCGGTACAATCTGTTTCCTCTTTTGTATATCGAACCATCATTTCGCAGCTCTAAGCGGTTTAACGCGTCTGCCATTATATCGCTTGGCAGCCCTTGAACCCATGACTTCAAACGAGCGTTAATGTTGCTCTTGAAAATTGTCAAGTTTTCAATTGTCCAGCTATCGGTTGCCATTTCGTCTGTTCGTGGAATGTAAACACGGCGGCTCGTGTGCCTATTTTTACTTGTTTTCGCTCTCTGATACACGCCTTTACGCTTGAATCTTTTTGACTACCAAGTTTTATCTAGCCACTACAGACCCAATACCGATTGGGCGCCAAAATGTAACGGAGATTCAGACTTCCCCGAGGAGGGTGTTGCTAGGTAGTTACTCAGCTTGTTGGTAGCTCGCTATGGGGTCATGCGGGACTCAGTCCAGTGGCTCAGCTATGCCACCTGAAGGCATCCTTGCCGTCGGCCAGCGGAGAGCGTCGCAGATCAGGTAGTAGCAGACAGTGCGAGTCAGCGCGTGTATAGTGCGGAAGAGGAGAATGCCGAAAGGAAAGACAGAGTGGTTAGCAGAAATAGCGTTTACTGAGACGAAGGCAATAACAAAAGCATATAAGTGGCATGCGCCGTGAGAGAGACAAGCAGGAAGCGAGCAAGAGAGAGACTTATGATCGAGCAGGTACTTACACGTCGGCTTCGCAGTAGCCTCGGACCTGTTTCTGATGCACGCGGGTATTCAGCCACGAGGCAGCTCTCTCGCTTGATCAATGGTTGTCAGCACACACGCTCGCACACGCAGTCCGCAGGATGCACTTGGTACCTCAGCCTTTCACTCAATTACGCACACTTTGCTCTCTCGGTCCTTATCGACGAAAAACACTGGCTACACAGCACAGAGCATCTACCGGTCGCGCGATGACGGCCGGGCTTGCGTTCCTCGCGAAGGTGGGCAGCTAATTGTCTCTCGCACGCGAAAAAGGTCCCCCTCTCTCTCTTTGGCTATTCGGCAGCGGCGCGTCTCAGCCAATTAGGCAAACGTGCGCGACACTCGTGCGTCCACGCACTCACGCATACACGCGGTTCTCTCTCTCTGATCGGCGCTCTCTCACTTACCTCGCGCAGCATCAGCAGCTGCAGCTGTAGGAAAAATGCATAAGAAAAATACATAAGTTATCAATAAATTATAATTGGCTTAAGGGAAGAGAGAGAGACATAACGAGACTCGACTCGTTATAATGTATAATCATTGTAAGCATATAATCATCATGCTCAACCTCAATAATTGTTTAGTTTTCTATAATTTATGATAATAAATAGATTTTTTTTTCATATAAATTATATCTCTGTTTATGTAATAAAGAAAGTTGATAATAAAAAAGCTTTTATACTTACACAGACCTACACTTTCAACTCAAGCACAATCAATCAACATTAAGCAAACATTTTTTTTATTTTGGCATGGAACAAGGGGCATCGGGCATGGGGCATGGGGCATGGGGCCGAGGGAATGCACGTCGATACAAGAGTCGATAACTGCCGGTAGAGAGCATGGGGTTTGCACGTCGGTACACAGTCGGTCACAAACGATTTCAGTCAAGCAGGTCGATAAAAATCTGTCGATAAAGCAACTCACAGATCACCAACATGAGGATTTATAACGTTACCGATTGTCGGCAGAGTAAGCATCGAAAACTCGCATGGTAAGTAGCTCAAGATTCCCTTAGCCCCTACTACTGTTAAGTGAATAAACTTTCAAAATTAAATACATTCATTAAAGTTTTTGAAACCGAAAATCCTCTAGATTCTTTTTGATCCGTGGGTATATACGAGGTGTGATCAAAAAGTAAGGTGAATTTTGAAATTTAGCGGGCTACGTCCGTTCGATCTTCGACTTTTTTATTTGGTTATGTCGATACACTCGTCTAGAACATACGTTCCAAATTTCAGCTTTGAATTATGTTTCGTTTGTTTGTGAGAGGCATCAAGGTTAGAAGTGTTTTGCGTGCTCCACGATTTGCTGCTGTCTAAAAACATGGATCAAAGAGTTTGCATTAAATTTTGTGTGAAAAATGGAATCAAATGTTCCAAAACACTTGAAATGCTGAAAGTGGCATACGGTGAGTCTACTTTAAGCCAAAAAAATGTTTACAAGTGGTATAAACTCTTCCAAGAAGGCCGAGAAGACACCGACGACGAACCTCGTTCTGGACGCCCCGGCACATCAACAACTGATGAGAATGTTGAAGAAGTGAAGAAAATAGTGTTGGGAAATCGTCGAATTACCATTAGAGAAATTGCTGATGATATTGGCATGTTATTTGGTTCGTGCCAATAAATTTCGACGAGTGTTTTAGACATGAGACGTGTGTCAGCGAAGATTGTTCCGAAATTGCTCAATTTCGACCAAAAGAAACGTCGCATGAGCATCGCCCAAGAGCTACTGAATGACGTCAACGATGATCCAGATTTACTCAACAGGGTTATAACAGGTGACAAAACATGGGTATACGGTTATGACGTCGAGACTAAGACTCAATCGTTCCAGTGGAGGCATTCTGGATCACCAAGACCAAAAAAAGCACGCCAAGTTCGATCAAATGTAAAGGTTTTGCTTACAGTTTTCTTTGACTGCAGGGGCGTGGTGCATCATGAGTTCTTGCCACAGGGTAGAACAGTAAATAAGGAATATTACCTGCAAGTTATGCGCAATTTGCGCGAAGCAATCCGCCAGAAACGTCCGAATTTGTGGAAAAATAAAAATTGGCTTTTGCACCATGATAACGCCCCTGCTCACACATCGTTGTGCTAAACCATCACAGTAACGATGCCACATGCACCGTATTCCCCAGATCTGACCCCCTGTGACTTCTTCTTGTTCCCAAAACTGAAGAGGCCCATGAAAGGACGGCGTTTTGCCACGATTGAGGAGATAAAGACGGCATCGAAGGATGAACTAAACACGATCACAAAAAATGATTTTTTGAAATGCTTTGAGGATTGGAAAAAGCGTTGGCACAAGTGCATTATATCCGAGGGGGGTTACTTTGAAGGAGATATAATAAAAATTGATGAATAAATAAATATTTTTTGAGAAAAATAAAAATTCACCTTACTTTTTGATCACACCTCGTATGTCTTTATTTGAAGCGACGATTCAAACATAACCAATGATCTTTAAGAATAGACAGGAAGAATAAATCGCAGAATTTGTTAACCGATTACAGAAATATTCGAAGTCAAGAACGGAAAATCCTCGGACATAGTGTTGCAAAAAATATTTAATCTTGATCAATAGAACTTAGCAAATGAATAAATAAGTCATAATACAAATAAGTACTGCCTTAATACTACTAAGAATAAGAATATTAGTTATTGTGCGTCGAGAATAAAAAGAAGTACTTCAAACTTTATAAAGCATTTATGTACGTAAAATTCGTTGTTGGAAGATCATGGTATAAAAAGTAGTTAGTGTAATTTTTATGATCAATATTCCATTTCATTAGTATGTTTTTCCTAAAAATACAGTAAATGTATTTATAGTATTCAAATAAAAATTCAAATAATAAACTGCACTACTTTCTTACCTGTGATATCTAAAAGTTTTAGGGTATCGACTATATTTTCCATAACATCTTCAGGAATATACGTTATCTGATTATTCTGTAGATTCAAAATTTCTAATGAATTCAATGTTTCGAATATTAATGATGGAAGTGTTTTAATCCTAAAATAAAGTTCATTACATCAGAAAATTATACAATTATGTTATTCGATTAATAATTTAATGGAAATTAAGAAAAGCATTAACTGATACATTATATAGAATCATCATATAAAATTAGGTCATAACTTGAGACTATTTTTTCACAATTATAAAATTATATAATAATTATAAATATAATTAATTACTAGTTAATCGCAAATCATAGAAATGTATTTGAGTCAGATATAAAATGTTTATTTGTTATAGAATAAAAATCTCTACAAAAATATTCAAGTTTTATATGCAGTAATGCATTAATTGAAATTTATGTAGTAACAATCGCCTTATAGTTCTCATGATCCCAGGAAATCAAGATTAATGCATAGAGGTACCTAGTTTACCTCTGCAGTGTTCCACGTAGATGTAATCTTTAAAGTCACAATTACAATAAAATCTAGTATAAAATATGACAAGAGTATAATAAATTATATATATTGAAATTCTAATTTTATGGTGTGTATCGGCCTATTCATTTATTTTTACATATATTAATGGGCAATAATTCTCAGTTCAGTCTCAGTTCAGCTTAGCTCGAGAAAGGATGTATCTGGATTATAGCTTGGCTTCGTATATTTTGAATCCGCAAGTAATGAATGTGTGCGAGCCGATAGGTTTTTCGTGCCCTACCAAAGGTTCCATTAACAGTAGTGCTAAGCAGTGCCCGGGTTCAAGTCATATATTCATCGTAGCTGTGCAAATAAAACACCCAAACTACGAGGGTAGGTTAATAAGTCCTTAGAAAATCCAATAGAGGCGGTCAAAGCATCCCAATTTATGTTGCACCAGCAAGCGTCAATATTCAACAGAGTGTTGCCGCAGTTTCAGCCAGATCTATCCAGTAGTTTCGTTTTTATCGTCGATCAAAGTAAACAACTTTTATTTCTTGTTCACAATATGTTAGATGCAGTTCATGGTGTATCTGTCCCTGTGTTTGTAACTGTTTACAATTGGGTAAATGAATTTAAACGTGACTGAACATGGACTGCAGATGAACATTGTCCAAACTGTCCTATAGACGTGAGCACTCCGGAAATGATCATTAAAATCCACGACATGGTGTTGAGTGATCAAAGAATAAAATTGCGTGAAAGAGTTGAGACCACAGGGGTTTCGAAAGGTACAGTCATATCGATTTTTCATGAGAAATTGGACATGAGAAAAATTTCGGTAAGATGGATGCCGCGTTTGTTTTCAGTCAAGAACAGACGCGGTCAAGTGGTAGCCGCTGAGGCCTTCTTGGCGTGCATCTACCGTAATCTGGATGACTTTCTGAGATGATTCATAACTGTTGATAAGACGTGGATACACGATTACACTCCTGAAACGAAGAAATAGTCATAACAATAGATTGTGAAAGGTCAATCTACTCCGAAGAAGACGAAGACAGTGAAATCGGTCGGCAAAGTTATGGCCACTGTTTTTTGGGATGCACGTAAAATTATCTTCGTCAACTATTTAGAAAAAGGACAAAGAATCACCGAAAAGTATTATGCGTCATTGTTGGATCGGTTAAGCGAGAAAATAAAGGAAAAATGTCTTTATTTGAACAAAATAAAATATTCTGTTCCATCAAGGCAATGCACGAGTGCACACTTGCTTAGTTTCAATGGATAAAATTAAGGAATTGAAGTTCGAATTAGTAGAACATTCAACGTATCACCAGATTTAGCCTCTAGTGACTTTTTTTTATTCACAAATTTAAAAATGTGGCTTGCCGGACAACGATTCACGTCGAATGAAGAAGTCATCGCCGAAACAAATGCCTATTTTGAGGGTTTTCAGAAATCATATTTTTCTGATGGCTTAAAAAAGCTGGAAGGCCGTTTAATAAAATGTATCGACCTTCAATGAGATTATATTGAAAAATAAAAAAAAATTACATACGCAAAACGTTTCTTTCCTTCTTTTTGTAAAGACTTATTGACCTCCCCTCGTAGTTTTGAATCCCCTAATTTCTTTCTATTTTCAATGATTCTTTTAAATTTTTTATAGCTTTATTTAGTTTGGCTTTATCCATTCGAGATCTCGTGTTTTGCCTAATTTTCCTTAGTTTCCTTTTTTCATTCATTTTTTCGACGACGTGATGAGGTATCGTGTTAGTTACTTGGCCTTGTTTTTGTGGTGAAGTAACTTCTGCAGCTGCCTTATGTAAAAGTATGTTGAAGTTTTCTATGCTGTTTTCAAGTTCTTCAGTTGTTTTAAGTGATATATTACAACAGATAAGATCGTTTATATAGTCTTTATATTTTTGCCAGTCTGTTTTTGAGTTATAGAGCTTATTTTTATGTAGTTTTTTCATAAGGTCTTCTTGAAAGTGAATTAGAACTGGGGCTAACAGCTTGCGCGTATGAAATGTTTGTGTTTTTAATATTCATGCTACTATTATCTTATTTTGATTGTTAATTGAGTTTAACTTCTTTTCTGTTATTGGAGGGAATAGTTTTTGCATTAATTATCTTCGGACATTATATTCTTTGTAACTGGCTACATGATGTCATCCACAGTTTACATATTTGACATATTTTATCTTTTCTTTTATTGATCAGCCCACTGTTAAGTGGCTTTTTGCGCATTTGACACAAGCGGGTTTTTTGTTGCAATAGTTTTTAGTGTGATAAAATCTCTGGCAGCTGGTACACTGGGGGACTTCCCTCTTTTTTCTTGGCCGTTCAAATTTTACCACTGTGTTTTGTAGCCTAACTTTATCATACATCTATTTGTTGTTTTCTTGAGTTTCTATTTAAATGAAAAAGAGTGGTAGTGGTATTTTTGTTTGGCTCTGTCTAATATTGGTAATGTTTTTTACTTTGTGGTTATAGCTTTCTATTTCTATTTTTAGTTCCTCCATATCGACAGAAGGATGGATATTTTTTAGCACTACTTTGTAATTTCTTTCCTGTTTTCTTTGATGGGTATAAAATTCAGCATTTTTCTCTTTTAGTATTTTTATTATTAGGTTGTAATATTGAGATGACAATGGTAGTATTATGATTTCATTGTTGTTCTGGATTTTAAATGTATAACTGCCTTTTTCTATACGATCAAGTTCTTCTTTTAACGGTCTTATGTTTTCAACTCCTATCACGAATATTGGAGGGGATTTGAATGGTTTGTCTTGGTTCAACAGTTCCTTAGATTATGGTGCATATTCCGACTCTAAATCTTCGAGTGAATTTTTTAACTCTACTGGCTTACCTAGCCAGTAGTTTTTTAATGTTGTTTTCTTATTTTTACTTTGATCTGTTGTTTCTGGACTATTTCCTTTTCTCTTCCGTTCTTTTACTTCAGTCCAAGCCTCCTTATATTGATTTTTGCTATCTTTAACATTTTCGTAATTTGCATTAATAGTTTGGGAATTTAGCCCATTGGCCCTACCAACCATTTATTTAAATCAACCGGCTATCACTATCTTTTAATTTTATGCACTTTAATTTAAATTTGTTTATTCGCACTTTCATTGGATTAGTAGATGAAATGAATTGCCTATACTTCCCCTTGTAGAAAGTTTACCGCTAATACGTCTGCACTCACCAAGAGCTAGATACTAACTGAATTGCAGCAAATAAAATTCATAGTCTATCAATTTATTACCAAAACATAGGCAGAGTAAAATCCGAAATCGATTCCTTTTTTCAATTTGTCAGCACTAATGCCAAAAAATTTAATATTATAATTCTGACTGAGTCTTGGCTGGATGACATGATAGATGACGCTCTGCAACAGATATCAGATCTGGCTACAAGTGTGTGAGGAAAGCTGTCTGTCGCAAAGTGGTAAGTCTAGGGGTGGAGGTATCCTTATATGGATTGAGAACGCTTGCTTGCATTTTACTTCTCTAAAAATTTTCAATTATAATTTAGAGCATGTGATCCTCAAGCTTGACTTTAATTTTACCTTGCTATTCTCAATGGTCTACTTGCCACCGTTGTCGTCACTGCTTACTTCGTCCTTTCCTACCTCTATGGATGATTTCTGCTCTACTCTGGAGGGTATTGCACAGGCTTATCCATCTGCTACTACACTTGTGGTTGGAGACTTCAATTTTCCACGCTGCACTTGGTCCATCTCCAATAGTCTGGTATTCATTGATGGTGTTCTCACGAGTCGTGACATCTCCTCATCAGCCCATTATCTTGAATGCTGTATGAACACTTTACAGTGCTCTCGACTGGCTTCATCAACTAATAGTGTGGGGAATATTCTGGATCTTGCCGTCTGTAGTGAGCTTGTAGTATTAAGTAATCAATTAGATCCCTTGGCATCATCAAACAGCTTCCATGAATCATTTATTATTGAAGTTATGCACGTCAATTTTCCTCCGCCACTAACTAAAAGCTCTATAACAACTTTCAACTTCAATAAAGCAAATGACTAAGCCATTAATGCAATGCTTTCGGTAATAGATTGGAAACACTTGTTTAAGAATAACTTAATGCAAGTTAACTGTAACGTTTGATTCTATCTTACGTTAGTAAAGTAAATACGAGAGTGGTCCGATAAGTACATAGCCTCACCGCCCGATGGCGCCACTCTCACAAAAGAAATATTCTATCACGTAGTACAACCTTCTCGATGCTTACTGTCAAGATTTCAGCCGGATCAGAGTTATAGTTTATTTTTGAGAGCGTGTGAAAACAAGTGTGTCCGTTGATTTTTGAAAAATGGAAAAAGAGCAGTATCGATCGGTGATTCGATTCTTGTTTTTGGAAGGGAAATCGCATAGCGAAATCAAACAGCGCTTGGATGCTGTGTACGGTGACTCTTCTCCTTCGATGGCGACCGTCAAAAATTGGTTTAAGAGTTTCAACGTGGTCGCACGTCGGTTTTTGAAGAGCCACGTCCAGGTGCTCCGAAAACGGCTACCACGGAGGATAACGTGACAAAAATTAACGATCTCGTATTGGCAACGATCAACGATTGAAAGTGCACGAGATAGCTAAGATCGTAGGCATCTCAAAAGA